CGACCCGTCCGTGCCGATGCACGTGCTGTCACGACTGGCCATCAACTCGGACCTGTGCTGTAGCAGCCAGGACCTGGAGTTCACCCTGCAGTGCCTGGTGCCCGACTTCCCGCCGCCCATCGAAGCCGCCGACTTCACCGAGCGCCTGGGTCGCCAGCTAGTGTGCCTGGAGCGCGTCACCTGCTCGGACCTGGGCGTCAGCGGGACGGTGCGCGTGCGCAACGTGGCCTTCGAGAAGCAGGTGGCAGTGCGGTACACCTTCTCGGACTGGCGCAGCGCGCACGAGGCGGTGGCTAGGTGGCGCGGGCCGGCGGGCGCCGAAGGCACCGAGGACGTCTTCACCTTTGGCTTCCCAGTGCCGCCCTTCTTGCTGGAGCTCGGCTCCCGAGTGCACTTTGCCCTGCGCTACCGGGTGGCCGGTGCCGAGTACTGGGACAACAACGGCGGTCGCGACTACAGCCTCACGTGCCGCGACCACGCGCTGCACATGCCGCGGGGGGAGTGCGAAGAGAGCTGGATCCACTTCATCTGAGCGCCCCCGGGCCCGGGACTGGTGCCTCCGCACGCACGCGAGCCGAACCTGCTGTTGCTTCAGAGCCCTGCTCTCATCGGGGATGGCCCTTCTTCACAGCCCATCCCCAAACTTTGGTCGTCTGACCCCACGTCCTGCTGCAAGGTGTGCTGGCAGTGATCCATCCTGTCTTCTACTCGAGACGTCTGTGTCACTTGGTCTAAAACGTAGCCTCAGCTGCCACGAGGCCGAGCTGTGTCTGTGCTGGGGTGGGGAGCTGGGAGAGTGGATGCAGGGGCCGGCGGGCGCTCTGAAGAGGAGCAGGCAGGGTGTTTATGAAAAGGCCTGCATCCTCCCTCTGGGAAGGCCTGTGGCTTCCGCATGTATCCTGATTGGGTTTCTCTGAATGTAGTTGTTATTTATTATCATTGTGATGTTGGGACCTTTTGCCCTCAATGGATGCCTTCTTGGGACGTTCTGGATTTAATAAGCTAAAGGAAGTCAGCCTCGCTATTTGTGCCTATTGTAGGCAGAATATACAGTGTGACCCCCATCGTGGTCCCCCAAGGCATTCCTGCCTCGGGTCAAGGAAAACCCGAGATCTCACTTGCTTGCCAATGTCTGTAGGCTTCTAACAGCCGGGAAACTATTAATAGGCAAGAAATGTATGCCTCATCAGTCATCCTACAACCATTCCTGGGAGTTCAGGCTGCCCTGGTTCGGCTGTGAGTCTCCGACATCAGCAACTGAGAAGGAGGAAAATGCTAAAACTGTTAATTAGCAAAACAGCCCTTCTGCAGTCTCTCTTCTCATTTTGTGTGTTTTTCTTGTGTATGTTTGATGATTACGTATCTGCATGTTATCAGGCCATTCTGTTTAGGTTTGAACAACCTAAACATTTGAAGAAATCCTGCCTCAAGTTATTTCAGTTTTCAGGCAACTCTATAGTTTCCGGCACGATGCTCTTTGCAATTACCTGTTTGATGATTAAGCTGATTCTCTTTATGACTTCTTAAGCATCAAAGTTTCCAGCAGTCATCTTTTAGAAGTTACGTTACCAAGTGGAACTAACAGGTGTTTTCAGCGATAGCCAGAGCACTGGAGGGAAAAGAAGACACCAATATTTATACTTTTGAAATTGTTTTCAATTCTATTTATATATACCTGATTTTATTAGCTACCTGCGAGCTTTATTCTTTGTGCCTTCAGACAGAAAAGTTTATGACATTGTCTGGACTTGTTTTCCAGTTTCTAAATGTTAAGTGCTTTTGAAAAAAAAAAACCTCCAACCAAGAAATCAAGACCATTGTCCCCTGCAGAGTGCCACAGTGACTTAAAACTCTCAGCGAGGGACTGGTGATTTCTTCTGGTGCTGAGCAGTGGTCAGACAGCAGGTGCTAGCACTGAGGTGCGAAAACCCAGGTGGACGTGGTCTCTAACTTGGGAAGCTGCTTTCTGATACAGCTGAAACAGTGTGTTCAATTTTGTGATGACTATCACCAATGAATTAACTCTAAATTTTTAAATGCTTATTGCCACTTGTCAAATAAGTATGTAAAGGATATGCTTTGCTTTTAAACCAATTTCTGTGTGTGTGTGTTTTTAAGATTCCAACAGCAGGGATAGCTTTCTCTGGTACCTTCTGATCTAAGAACATGGAATTTTGATTTTAAATGTTGTGACTAAATGGAACAGTTGCTGGCTGTTAGAACTGTGTACTACATTGACATGCAAGAGGGAGAGAAGCCTGGTTGCATTTCCTGCTCTTTAACAAACAGTCCAGTGAGGCCAGGAAGCCTGTGAAGGCCTCGGCTGCTTTGCCCTTGGCCCCGGCCCTGTGCGCAGGAGCATTCAGGTATGAGCTGGAGCTGGCAGACGTATTGCTATGGAAAGGCACATAGAGAATCTTATAATCCGTCTGAAGGTCACTTCCCAAAAAAGGTTCTGGTCACAGAGTACAAAGTAAATGTTACATCTTTGATATTAAGAGAACCTCAATGTGCCTTTGAAAAAAGATCAATATTTAAACATTTGAAAGCTTAAATATACCTGCCTAGTTGATTAAAAAAGTTGCAGAAAAGCTTAAGGAGATGTAGAGACCTGAAAATACAGTTATGTGGCCGAGAGGTTCACATTTTGTTGTGGATTGTGCAATGATTGGGTTGTCTCCCCAAACATATTTTAATGCCTGGCATGTAAGATGACTTCACCTATGCCTAAATATTAAAGTCCATATGCACAAATTGTTGGTTGGAGTGTGCTTGGTGTGGTTTTTTTGGTGGTCTAATTACTGAAACAAGGCTTTAGAAACTTGTTGATTGTTATTTCACACATAAGTCTGCTCCTTCCTAAAACGCTGTCAAATTTAATATCTTGCAAAAATAAATATGTTGCATGATGGCACCTCATCTTCAGTAGCACAGTCGTGTATGTCTTTGAGTAACTGAAGTATGCTGTTTTATGCCGGGTCAGCATTACATATGAAGAAAGCTAGAGGAGGACACGGAATAGGGTAGTTGTTGTGCTTCTCTTAGTGCTTATGGAAGCCTGTGCATGGAATAATTAATGTGTATCTGCTTCCCCTCCCCCCAGTTGTGACCCACTCAATTACAAAGCCTTGAACACAAAGGAAAGGAAACTAACATTTATTGTGTCCTCTCTTACTTGCTTGCCTACAATGCTAGGTGCTGTATGTATTTGATTTCATTTAATTCTGATAATTACACTGCCTGGTAGATAATATTCCCATTTTCTTAAGCTGAAAAGAATGAAGCTCAGAGAGGTTTTAGATAATTCACCTAAAGTCCCACAGCTGGTAAGTAGCAGAGTCAGCATTCACACCTACCCCAGAGCCCTCCCTCTCTCTGCCATGTGATAGGAAGAGCTTGTTACCTTTAATTGAAAGCCCATTTGGATTACGATTGGTAAGGTTTTCCATCTAACGGCATAATCTAAAAACCTATTTAAAAACAATTCAAATAAGATTAAAATGAATGATTTTTTTCTTCCATGTGGTAGTTTTCTGATGGTAACTAAACAATCCTTGTGCTTTCTGAGCACATGAAACAGTAAAAAGGGCTTGAACGTTCTCTCTACTAAAAGGTGGCAAGGTGAGAAATCACTACTTTTAATTTCTGAAGTGCTTGCTTGCTGTAATCATTCCTGAATTGCTTGCATATTTTAAACAACAAGCATCATTGCTTTTATCATTTAAACTGATAGATACTTTAAATGGAAACCTTCTAGAAAGCCTGAGAATACACGGTTGATGATTCTGCTCAGTGCCAAGCCTAGATGGCTTCATCTTTGTAGCCTCCAGGGGTCTGGGGTTCCAGCTAATGAGAGCAGCAGCCACTCATTGCACCTGCTTCTAGGAAACCCAGGTGTGGGGCGTGGCCACCGGGTGGGGCGGGGCAGGACAGGTGTGGGGCGCGCCTTCTGGCACTTCTGGTTCACGTCCTGCGGTCCGGCCGGGCGACCCCTGGGGCACGTCCACTCCGCGGGCGGGGAGGGGACAGCAGGAGAGGGGAGCGACGCAGGCGCCTTCCCTCGCAGCGCGTCCGTGCAGGGAGGGCTTCGCAGCGCGGCCGCCGCCCGAAGGGGGTCAGAGGTCGGGGTCGGGGTCGGGCCTGGGCGCCGCCTCCCACTTACCTGAGGCCCCAAGCCCCGCCCACCTCAGCGCCCCTGCCTCCGGCCTAGGGCGACCCCGGCGCTGGCACGGGGGGGGCGGGGCCTGGCCGGCCGGCGGCGCTAATTGGACGCAGAGCCGACCGCACGTGACGCCGATTGGACAGGCGCCTCCCGCCTTCCCTCGGCCGCCTGAGGTGCCACGGCGAGCTCTGAGGCGAGGAGACGCGACGCCGGGCGGCAACGGCGGCGGGTCCCGGAGCTC